AAAAAAAATTAATTAACTGGGAAAAATGCAGCTTTTGTCAGTTAAATTACAAACCTCAAATTTATGATGAGAGTTGAGGAAGGAACAAACTACAAAATAAAATCTTTATCTCTTTTCCTGTATACGTCTTGGTCCTTTAAAACAAAAACATTGAAGTCAAAAAGTCTCTTTTAAAAATATAAATTTGAGACATGTTTTCTCTAAAGGAGTTAGTAAAAGCAGCTTGGAAATTTAATCAGTAAAATTTTCTCTGTGTTTTCGCAGAGAAAATAACCGTTTGAACCTAATACACATGGGGCTCTCCTGGTGGTGTAGTGGGTTGAGCGCTGCACTGGGAAGCCAAGCCAAGCCAAGCCGTGGTGGTGGTGGCCTGTTCAGTTGAGTTCTATCCTCCACCCTGGAGGTGCAGACCTCTCCTGATTCGTCCATTGCTTCCCTCAGCAGTATACTTCTTCCATGTTCCCTCTGTCTCTGGTGAATCCTCTCACTGCCCCTGCACCTCTGGCCTGTACCCTACTTCTTTATGCATAAATAAATCTTAAAAAACAAAACAAAACAAAAACCAGGGCCTTCCCTGGTGGCACAGCAGGTTGGAGCGCTGAGCTGCAAAGCCAAGCCAAGCCCTGGCCACTTAAGTGGGTGTTAGATCCCCGCCCTAGGGGTGATCCACATGGTGCAGCAGACCTCTCCTGGCCTGCCTGCTTCTCCACTGCTCCCCTCATGTACTTCATCTATCTGCCTGTTCTGCTCCCTCCTCTGTCTCTGGTGAATCTTCTCACTCCTTGCACCTCAGGGCTGGACCCTAGTTCGGTATGTATAAATAAATAAATCTAATAAATAAATAAATAAATAAGGTTTTACAATGAAAATTTGTTAAATAAGGTAACTTAAATCATTGCATGTTCAGGTTTACTTTTTGCTTCTTATTGTAAGAAAACTAAAATTTAATGTCATCTTACCTAAAAGAAGAATCGAAACATTGTGGTTATGTATGAGTTTATCCAGTACAAAGGAATGATTGCATAACAGCTCTTATGATGTCTTATGATCTAAAAATTAAAAACTGGGATGTCATTACTCTAAATGTAAATAAAGTGAAGTTTATTAAAATGTATTTGAAATGGGTATTGTTGAAGGTATTGGGAAACATTTAGTATCGAAATAAAATGGGTCTCTTTAAAAATGAATGGTGTAAAACTAGGAAGGCAAACGAAAGTGTTTTCAGATCCCTGAGAGAGGTATTTAAAAAAAGTTATGTGTTCAAATGACTTGCTATAAAAAATATTTAAGTTCAGTATCAGTAGTGTACTTACATAAATTCAAACTTTAATTTTTATCTGTAATACTCTAGTATTCTTAAACTGCTCTTACTAGTTTCTGATGACAAATTAAAAACTGGTTAGATAATCTAAAATCTTGGTGCTCTTTTATCCTCTGTTTACATGAAATTTTAGCCTATCAACATTGCTGAGCCTTATCAAAGAAATAGCTTTATTCTTTCTAAAAAAATTATTTATTTATACATACAGAATTGGGGTACAGGCCAAAGGTGCAGGGGCGGTGAGAGGATTCACCAGAGACAGAGTGGGGAGCAGAACAGGCAGATCCATGAAGTACACTGCTGAGGAGAGCAGAAGGGCGGGCAGGTGAGGAGAGGTCTGCTCTGCTATGTGGGTCACATCCCTGGGTGGGGATCAAAGACGCGCTAGAGTGGCTGTGATAGCTTTATAGTGCTGTGCTCCAAGGAGGGCCCAGAAATAGCTTGACTCTTAAAAATCCTTATCACTCTGAGAAATTAAGTATTTTATAAAAATCTGTAAGTTTGGTATCTCCTTGCTATCAAATATTAAAGTCTAAACTATTAAAGTCTTTGTCTTTAAAGACCTCCTAAGATAACCAAAAAATGTTTTCCTTGTAAAAAAAAACAAAACAAAACACCAAATTGGGTCAATCTAGATATATTGATAAAAGTACATATTACATTAAATTTTAGTTTTGCCTCCCTTTCTGTACTTCTATTGGGACAGGACATCATAACTAAATTCCAAACTAATGGTCCATTGGCTCTTCTAGCAACTGTACAAAAGACTTTTGTGTACAAAAGTAGCACAAAGCCCCAAGTATCAAACATAATATTTGACAAATAGACATTACATTCATGTCTCTAAAGACACCTATTCTGGATTAATTCATGCATTGGCCCAAACAGGATAAACTGTTAAACATGTTAAAAAAAACCTTTTATCTGCCACTACAGCTATAGGACTCTAATCACAAATAAAAACTGATAGTGAACCTGCTTACATCGCCAAAGCCTTTAGCTCTTTCTTGCTAACTTAAAATATTAAACATGTGACTGGCATCCCTACAGCCTTATAGGACAAACTATACTTAAAAGAACCAGTCGGCTCCTTACAACTCATAAACTAAAAAGGGGGAATCTAGAAAGCAATTTGCCCCCACAAGAACAAATATATAAAGTTCTATTTATTCTAAACTTCTTAAATTTTATTCTAAACTTCTTAAACTTCTTATTTATTCTAAACATCAGCCTAACAGCTATTGAACGGAATTTCATTCCTACTGGACCAAGACCTATGGTTTTGTGCCAACACCCACTTGGGCTGGGACCTGTTAAATTACTAACATGGGGAAGAGGGTATGCTTCTGTTCTGTCTCCTACAATATCTCTCTGGATTCAGCACAGGCTGTACACCCTTACCATGATTTGGCATCAAACAGGGATAAACCCTGTTCTCAAGACTCAAATGCTGTACACCCAACTCCCAGGAAGGAAGAAGAAGGATCTTTGGCCTTGATGAAGCAGTCTACTGGGCCAACGTCGGGGTGATCTAAAAAAGTGAACATGTGAAGCAGAAAATAATTTAAAGGTCACAGGGATGCCTGAGACCTCCGAAAATGTGTTCTTATCAATGTTAGCTCACATCACCATAAATTCTAATGGCCTTAAGGTGACATGGCTACTTTTACTCTTAGGACTATTATGTTCTATTCCACCTATTATACTAAGACCACCTACTGGACACATAATTAAATTCACCTGTGTTTAGTTTACTCACATGAGGGGTCGCAGGACCTCTTTTATCCTCCAGTGACTCTGTTTTTACTGGAGGGAATTGGATGCCGCCTCCGGGTCCACTAAGAAACTGTGGCACTAAATGTAACCAAGAAGGCTATCAGGGTGGATTGCATTTCCTTTTTCATGATTGGTTTTTCCTCAAAGAAGACCAGCCCATTTGTGCTATTGCTACCCATAGCTCTGATAATTATTGTATCCCTTTTCAACCTCAGTGGTACATGAATCACATTTATCTAGGTATGGATGGTGAAAATCGCAGTAAGACAACAAAACATCAAATTTTCATTCACATCAATATTGGGGGAAAAATAGCTCAGGTCATGGCGACGGCCATGGCTACTGCTACTGCTATAATCACCCTATCTCATTCCATTCAAGCTGCACACCAAACGAATCAATATTTTAAAAAATGTTACACCTGAACTTCTGACTCAAACCACCATTGATCAGAAAATCTTACAGGTGCCCTCAAGGCTGCTGTGTCTTGGCTTGGTGAACAGCAACATGTCCTCTCACCAAACAGTTGTGATGCTGAGCACCACTCTATGTGCGTTACTCCTGTTACTCTGAAGGCCGTCGTGGTGCCTTCTAAGATCATCTGGGACTAGAGATTCTAGACTTCAAACAGCTCCCACAAGAGGCAAAGAATGCCACCTTAAGCATCTAACTCCTCTAGCCTACTGGCTAAATCCAACAAATTGATCTTCAGGTCTCATTATCAGAATGGGTTATGATTGGATTGGGTATATTATGCCTTTTGTGTTTTCTTTCAGTGCTAAAGTCTCTCTGTCCCTTGTTCCAGAGGACTGACCAAGCTGAGGCTATGCAGACCCTTCTACAATGATCACTTTATTAGCCCCTTCCTGTGCTTCCTGATTCTGCTAATTCTGACCTAATAAAAAAGGGGGAAATGTGGGAGCTTGGATTATCATGCCCCTCAACTATTCTGTGTCTTTACCTCGGTTATTCTTTGCTTTGACTATTCTGCACCTTTCAGTGTATAGAAACAGGGAAAGTTGATGAGGAATCTCTCAGGGCAAAAGTCCTGATCCATACACGCTGAAAACAGCATGTGCAGAAACAGCAGTGGATGTTATGGTTAGAGTAGAATAAACACTAAGCGGTCACTCTGCATTCACTGTTTGTCTGCTTGCTTCTTTGATCTTTTAAATTTTCTATCAGATTCTAAATAAAAATGAGACTGCCCTTGGAGCTGGGTTGCATGTCTGTGGAGTAGCCCCCTCTAAGCTTCTCATTGTTTTGCACATGGACTCTAAGTAATCCTTTTCATCCCACTACTACACGTTGAAATGAAACACAAAAACATGAGGAATTAGATTTTTTCAATTTATATTTTTTGTTTTGTGAAGGCTGTTATATGGTAATGCAGTAATTTATTCTTTCCATTAATGATGACTATTTGTGAACATTTATATATATAGTTTTAAAGGATTTATTTATTTATGCCTACAGAACTGGGGTACAGGCCAGAGGTGCAGAGGCTGGTGAGAGGATTCACCAGAGACAGAGCGGGGTACAGAACAGGCAGATCTACGAAGTACACTGCTGAGGGGAGCAGGGGCGGGTCAGGAGAGGTCTGCCACGCCATGTAGTCACCTCCGGGGCAGGCGCCATGTAGTCACCTCCGGGGCAGGCGGGGATCGAACTCATGCGGAAGTGGCTTTAGCTTCTTAGTGCATATTTGCCTGCTGCACCACCAGGGAGGCTCTGTGAACATTTATATTAATGGAACTTTAAGAGAAATTCAACTTTGAAAAACTTCAACATTGTTTTATTAATAAGAGAGATGAAATAATAGTGGTCAAAAATTTATGTCAAAAAACTTAAAGCAAATGCCTGGTGTTAGTCTACATACAATTCAGTTTGTGGTGCAATAAAGTTCTTTGGCACAGGAAATATTTGCTTTACTAGTAGGGATATCTCTCAATGCGGGGATGACCTTTTCTTGGTATTTCTTCTGCCACTGATTTTTAGCATAGTAATCTGTGATGGCATGAATGGACTGGAATAGAGAGGTACTCCTCAGCATGTTCATTTCAAATAGAAGTACATTACCAATAACTATAAAAATGGGGAGGTTCAGAGACAATGCAAATGCCCAGTAGTTTGAGGCCAATGGGTTAAGCCCAGGGAATTGAGCCAAGAATAAATGATATAAAGTATGAAGCCAATTTAGGAATTTAAGAAAAGGACAAGTAATTGCCCTTTTTAGCAATGGCATTAAATGAATTTTCTACCATTTTTCCTGTGGCTTGAGACAATCTGATACCGGCTAGGAGAGATCTTCAACCTCAGGTTCTTCTTGTACCCATCATGGTCCCTCCAGACAGCTCCACCACCTCAGCTCAGAGTCCCACTAGCAAGTCCTGGCCAGAGAGCTGCAGATGTGGTGAGAGGGAAGAAAATGCTGGAAAAGGCCAAGTGGTCAACGCACTACCGGCTGCCTCCTCAGCTCCATTCCCCAAGAAGTTTGATTTCTAGCTTCTCTAATTCCTGGTGCACTATTAGTTTACACGTTAGGATACAAACACAAATTTCACTTGGAAACAAATTTGGGACTATGCAGAAATGATGGAATCCGGTATTTACTGGTTTTTGCACTTGGGTTAGCAGCTAAAGTGAGGCAATCCCTTAACAGTCAAAAGATTTAAGGAGGAACTTAAATCATTGCTGTCAAATAGGGTGCTTGAACAAGCCTGAGAGTAGGTGCCTCCTTAAATGACAACTCCACTCCTACTTTGTAGCCAGTCCTCAACTCTGATAGGCACCTACCACTCCTCACTCTGCTCCAGCGTTTCTGGGCCAGCAGTATCCATTATGTCCGGATGGTCTCAGCTTAGGATGCTGGGCCGGGGTATGAGCTATGCCCTCACCATTGTTTTCATCCTGCAAAGACTCTACATGCGTTTCTGGAGTAAGACTCATCTTTGGAACCCCCAGAACTGCTCTACAGATCTGACAGGGAAGACTGCAGTAGTGACTGGGGCCAATAGTGGTGAGTGCTTCTCCCATTTGGTCAACTCACCAGTGGCTCAGCTCCCGCTAGACTCAATGGGAGGGCAGGGAGGAGGGTCTACCCTGTCCCCCCCTCAGTTCCACTGAGCTACTCATTCCCCAGGCTACCCTCCCACAGGCATTGGGAAGGCTTTGTCCCTGGAGCTGGCTCGCCGAGGGGCTTGTGTGATCCTTGCCTGTCGCAATCATGAACGTGGACAGCAAGTCCTGGCTGAGATCCAAGCAGCAACAAAGGGCAACAGTCATGTCCTGCTTGGTCAGGTGGACATGAGCTCTATGACCTCTATCCGGAGCTTTGTCCACTGGCTTCTGCGGGAGCATCCTGAGATACACCTGTTGGTTAACAATGCTGCAATCTGTGGTATGTGCCTTGCCAGGCTTCTCCAAACACATTTCAGGAACCTCTGATTCTAGCTCAGGGACCCCAGAACCAGCACTCCCAAAACTTAACCCATTCATCTTGTTGAAACACTCTAATTCACACACTACCCTGAAAAATCTGTCTCAAGTTATAGCCTCAAATTTCATTGTCCCCATCTTTGCATATATATGTTCTTGTATTTCTATTTGTATTGAACTTCAATAGATGACCCCCACCCAAGATCTTGTCTCCTTTCATCACCTACCATCTGTGTTCTAATCTCCTCCCAGGATTATCCAAGACACTTACCCCAGAGGGCCTTGAACTCACCTTTGCAACCAACTACATTGGGCCCTTTCTGCTCACAAATCTACTCCAAGGTAAGGAAAGTTAGGTGTCTATCTTGTGTGTTGCCCCTACTTCTCCATAACCCTAGTATTTTTGTGATTTACTGTCTCCCCTGGCCACCACCTCTTCTCGTCAGTTCAGCTGCTTGGTGAGCGATAACCCAGTATACTTTTGTTGTACATGGTAGAGAACCTCCATGGCCTAAATCAGGAGGAGGAATAATGGAATTTGTCAATCCAAAACACAATCAGCAAGGAATCTAAACTCGAGTTTCCTTCCCCCAGACTCAAGTTCCAACTAGACTACTCAGCTAGAAATATTGTCTCAACAAAGGCCTCTTCAGGCAGGCAACTTGCCTCCAAGGACTTGACTTCCTGTTCTCAAAGGGCTCAGCATCCAGGAGAGATATAGATAAACACACCATGCCAGGAGTGAGAGGATTCAAAAGAGACAGAGTGGAGAGCAAGACAGGCGAGTCTACTGAAACACGCTGTTGAGGGAAGCAATGGGTGACACAGGAAAGGTCTACTTCTCCTTATGTGGGTCAGCTCCCTGGAAGGGAGAACTCAAACCCAGGCTGTAGTGGTGGTAGCATTTAGGCTCAACCCCTAGGCCCAACTTCCTGACTTTTTAGTTAAGGTTGTTTGGGTAGACCTTTGACTTGGGATGGGGAGAGTGGATTGCAGAAACTTGTTCTCTTACAAATTTTTTCGGCTGTTTAATAAATTTGTTAGTACATACCCAAAGTACAAAATTCAAAGAATACAATAGGAAATATGCTGGGGGAAATGTCCTTTCTGCTCCTTGTTATCCTCTCTTGGGAGGCAATTACTGTAACCATGGCTTTCATGTGTCCTTAATGACTAAGTTAGCAAGGCAAAACTGAATGATTTGTGCCCTTCCCCCCCAACTGTATCATGCTGACTCTCTACAACACTGTGCTTAGTAATGGATCCTTAACCAGTGTTCCCTCCTGTCTCCCCTTCTCAAATCTAATCTCCCTTCCACCACTTCTAGAAATCATCTTTCATCATATCACTTTCTTGCTTAAAATCATTTGAAGGTACTCTGTCCTGATAGGATCAGCTCTAAACCCCTTCTCTCCATCAACAAGATTCTCTACAGATTGAGAGCTACACCTTCTACCCTTCCATAACCAGCAAATTACCTGTAACTCTTGGACCATACTCTACTTTTATCCCCCTCTGCCTGTGATTTTTGCACACAAGATTTCCTCCATCTGCAATAACCTTTCCCACCCCTACAGGTAGCCAGGTTAGTTCATCTGCTAACACTCAGCCCAGACATCATCCATGAGATGGATCCTGCCTGACCCCTCTGCCTTTCCAGACACCCCCATTTATAGGGGTGTACTCATTTCTGTTCCGTTAGCCCCTTGTACTCTTCTCTGTTCCTGCACTGACATGGCTTTGGAGACTGGTCTCTACTTAGGCTGTGAGCCCCGTTGGGCTTTATGTTACCATGTTTGCAAGCTCAGGCTCCACTGTTGTTTTTATGAATATTTTTCCCCCAACAAATTGAATGCCATCTGCTAATTTTTTACTTATGGTTCTTAAATGTAGGTCTCAAATAGTTTTACATTTGAAAACAATACTATAAACTTGCATGTGGCTACTAATTTTCATGTTTTATATAATCCACTTTTTAAAAAATACAGTTAGGTACTCATTTAAAAAATATTCAACTTGTACTACTGACTGCAATAAGTAATATGTGAATAAGTAAACTACTGAATGCGCAAGTTAAGTGCAAAACTGCTTTCACAGTGTTCCTTGTCTTGCCTTCCTGCACTTAGCCATCAGTAAGGTAAACAAGGGTTTTTTAAATCAGTTCCAGCTGGCAAGTGGGAGAACAGCAAGGCAAAATTCTAAAGGTTAAAAGAGGTGAAAGAGCATTGGGAAAGCAGAGAATGAAGATAAATTCTCTCTCTCCTGTGTCTGGTCTGGGTGCCTGAGTGGGCTCTCTATTGACCCTCTCCTGACAGCCCCGGATGGTCCTCCTTCCTTGGAGCCTCCTGGGGCAGCAGGTTGAGATGGACATGAGAGTTTACACCAGGACTTGAACTGAAGGAATGTGATCCTTTCTCCCCTCAGGGGCTCTGAGGCGGGCAGGATCAGCCCGGGTGGTGAATGTGTCTTCCTTTCGTCATGCGGTTGGGTACATTGATGAAGATCACCTGACAGGGACTGGTGGCCCTTTGACCTTCAACCAGAACTATGACTGTAGCAAACTGCTTTTGGTCTCATTCACTGGGGAGCTCTCCCGGAGACTTCAAGGGACAGGTACCTGCCTCTTGACAACCCTTACTCTTCTAATCCCAATCTTTCACATCACCTCCCACATGTCGAGGCCATAAATATCTCCTATGTGCCCCAAAGTGGCTGTAATCTCTGTAATGGTAATCTATTTATCAACAGTGCACTCTATATTTCTCTCAATCTTGTCTTCATATCTCTTTTTTAAACTCTTCTAATCCTCTTATAACCCACAATATCCTCTCTCAGTTTCCTCCAACACCAATAACATCCACCATGCTCCTCCTCCAGGTCACCCAACACTTTCAAATCTGGTGTCTCCTGACTGCCTTGCTTACTAACATTCCTGCAAGTTGTGGAGCATTGAATTCCCCCCCACACCTCTTCTATGTCTCTAGTCATTTCTACCCCATAGATGTAGTAGAGTCCTCCACAGATTGCACACTTTAGAACCACACATCTTTTCTCCTAATCACCTCCTCTCAATTCACGTTGCACTCTGTGTGGCTCACCCTCTCAGATGTGACTGTGAACAGTGTGGATCCAGGTGTTGTATATACAGAAATCTTGAAGAATTTTTCTTATATGTACCGCTTCATCTTCTGGCTCAGCAGCTTCTTTTTGAAGGTAGGTAGGGGAGGAGCTGGCTCAGCCTGAAGAGACTGGGGTGGGGGAGGGGGGGAAGCACCACTTCGTGGTATGTCCCCAGCAGGCTAAAGCCTACCTGGTGTGACTCCACCAACCCACCTCCCCAATGTCTCCACAGG